CCCACTGGTTAGACTCAGATGCCTCGGCAGGAGGACCCGGCTCAAATGCCTCCTTCGCCAGCCTGGAAGGGGCAGTCATTGAGACCACTTGAGTCACCACACTATCTAAACCCTGGACTGACTCCGAAACCCTCAGACACTTTGGAGCTCGAACCAGGGAGGGAGGGGGGAAGCAGAATAAACCACAGAAGGGGAAGGACAAGGGGGCACGGACCAAACCAAGGTCGAAGTGTCCAAAACCCCCAAGACCGGGTCCCAAAAAACAAAACAAAACAGTCTCGAGGCTTCCGGGCTAGCCACCAACCAAGCACATTGAAGCAACCGGAATCGAGATTTGCAACGACTGAACCGCCTGTATCCGAAGACCCACATCAGAGATTCGGGTTACCTGAATCATTAACAAGCAACAGAGCTCGCAGGACTTTGGGTTGAAGGTGTCACCGATCCAGCAGGCAGCATGACGGAGACAGAAACAGTGAGTGTCCCCTGGAGACAAGGGGACAGAGCAACCTTCAAACTCGCACAAAGCGAGAGGAGACTCGTGACATCCATCGGACCCAAGAGCCCCTGTGGGGTTTCCCAGGGGCTTTTAACTTTCCCTTAACTTTTCAACCTCCACTAAGGGAAGCCCCAGGCAGGGTCCTACTAACCGGCTCCCAATATTACCAAGCAAACTTCTAAGACTGCACCCCTGGGATGTGTACGCTCAAGGGAGCCTAGTGGGGATACCACCAATATATACAGTATTTAGAGGGTGTGACCCATACCCAAGGGCAGACTTTTTTGTTTTTTTGTTCCTTGCCAAGGAACTTTTTTGTTCCGTACCAAGGAACTTTTTTGTTCCTTTTTTGTTCCTTGCTAAGGCAAGGAACAAAAAAGAAACAAAAAAACCTGCAAGAGAACAGCGTACCCAGAGGATGCAGAGTCAGCTGCTATGAGTGGTGATAACTAGCTGCATAAATACCCTGTGCTCCCTACCAGTGACGAATACTACCCCCCTACCCAGAGGCAAACAGATGAGCAAGAAACCCTCTAGCTGACTACAAGGGTGGACAAGTACCGAGCAGTAACTGACACAATGGAGGTAGCTCCCAAAGCGACTTGTGGAAGTAGGCCCCAAGCCCCAAGCCTCAAGGGCAGTACTTACACGGCATTTAGAGAAGGGGACCCTAAGCACATGCAACCCGAGTATTTGTGAATATACTCCCAGCTCGCACACCACCGAAGCAAGAACAGAGAAGAAAAGCCGAAGCTTGAGGTACACGAACGAAGCCCACTGAAATCAGTCATAACTAAAAGTTTTGGGTAGCCGGTGAGGGGTCTGGGGCTCCTTTATTCCCCTCCCGGGGAGGGAGGGGTTGCGCAGACAATGGCGCGTTTGTAACGAGATGATGTCATGCTCGTTTGATCGTTTTTCTTCATGGAGAGTTCTATCCACTCGTTCGGTGTTTGGAAGCTTTTCTTCACCAGAATTGGAGGAGGGGGGTAAGGTATTTTGGGCGCCGATCTTTCTGGGTGGCTGATGGCAGACATAAAGTACTCCTAAATCATATATACGGTGTCTCTATAGGCCATTGCTCCTTGTACCTCTCTGAGGGGGGCCAGGTTCTGGCCTGTGGTCCCAGGTAGGCCTAGAACTCCATGTACATTGACTGATGCCCAAAGCTAATACATCTGTATCAGCCAGATAGCTTCAGGGAGCCTAAGGGTCTTCCCCCAGAAAAAATTGTAAAACTTGATACATGTTTTGAGATTTTATGCAATGACATATTACTGTACATGTCTTGTGTTTTAAGATTAGTTTTGAAACAGTGTTGTATAAAAAAAATTATATTCAACTTAACCCTTGTATGGCACCTGGTTATTTAGCATGTGTCACTCACAGGCGCATACAAAAAAAAAAAAAAAAAAATTCTTCTAAACCTGTTAATTTGTGTTTACTGATCATGGGAAAAATAATAAAAAGATCGTAAGTGGCATATATTGCCCACTATAGGGCGGGGAAGTCTGACAAAAAACAGGCGCTGACTCAGCATGCGTCCCAGACGGTCTGTTGCTTGCCAGCTGTCAGGCCGGAGTTGCCACAAAGATATAATTACCTAATATTTCAATGTCTCTGATTGATTTTTTGTAGTTTTTTTGCTGTAATATTAATCAATAGTGTGTAGTGTGATATATTTATATAATAAAATGAGTGAATCATCGCTGTACTCAAAAATATGGTGTGCATATTGTTGATTCAATTATTATGTTCATCAAGCAGTGAACAAATACTTTGTCGGTTATTACACTATATACACAGGTTATATATAAGTATCTGCATGTTTTGCTCACCATAACGAACCACTAAGTTGGTATTGTGAGTCAAAATGCAATGAGGAGTGACCGCCACACTCCAGCCAGCCACTCACTCCCACAACACCTCACTCACCCACATTCTCCTCCCACCAGACTGTTTTTGCTTTTATTCACTATACACAGACGTTATATATAAGTATCTACATTCGTGTTCACAATAACGAACCACTAAGTTGGCATGCCGAGTGGCAGTGCCAGTGGCAGCCCACCACTGGTTGCTACTTCCTTCCTCCCTTAAGTCACCTGACTCACCCACATTCTCCTCCCACAATACTGTTTTTTCTTTTATTCACTATATACAGACGCTATATATAAGTATCTATATTCGTGTTAACTTTAACGAACCACTAAGTTGGTATGCTGAGTGGCAGTGGCAGCCCGCCACTGGCTGCCACTCCCTCCCTCCCTCACCTCACCTGACTTACCACCATTCTCCTCCCACCATACTGTTTTTGCTTTTATATACAGACGTTATATATAAGTATTTACATGTTTTGTTCACCATAACTGTACATCTAAGCTTGTATGGTGAGTAAAGGCACAAAGACGTAGATACTCAGTTCCTATGATTGAGCAACAGAGATATTACAGGAAAGAGATGGTTGGGTTGACTGCATCTATCTGGACCTAAAAAAGGCTTTCGACAGAGTTCCACATAAGAGGTTGTTCTGGAAACTGGAAAATATTGGAGGAGTGACAGGTACACTTCTAACATGGATGAAAAATTTTCTGACTGATAGAAAAATGAGGGCTGTGATCAGAGGCAATGTATCGGACTGGAGAAATGTCACAAGTGGAGTACCACAGGGTTCAGTTCTTGCACCAGTGATGTTTATTGTCTACATAAATGATCTACCAGTTGGTATACAGAATTATATGAACATGTTTGCTGATGATGCTAAGATAATAGGAAGGATAAGAAACTTAGATGATTGTCATGCCCTTCAAGAAGACCTGGACAAAATAAGTACATGGAGCGCCACTTGGCAAATGGAATTTAATGTTAATAAATGCCATGTTATGGAATGTGGAATAGGAGAACATAGACCCCACACAACCTATATATTATGTGAGAAATCTTTAAAGAAGTCTGATAAAGAAAGAGATCTAGGGGTGGTTCTAGATAGAAAACTATCACCTGAGGACCACATAAAGAATATTGTGTGAGGAGCCTATGCCACGCTTTCTAACTTCAGAATTGCTTTTAAATACATGGATGGCGATATACTAAAGAAATTGTTCACAACTTTTGTTAGGCCAAAGCTAGAATATGCAGCAGTTGTGTGGTGCCCATATCTTAAGAAGCACATCAACAAACTAGAAAAGGTGCAAAGACATGCTACTAAGTGGCTCCCAGAACTGAAGGGCAAGAGCTACGAGGAGAGGTTAGAGGCATTAAATATGCCAAAACTAGAAGACAGAAGAAAAAGAGGTGATATGATCACTACATACAAAATAGTAACAGGAATTGATAAAATCGATAGGGAAGATTTCTTGAGACCTGGAACATTAAGAACAAGAGGTCATAGATATAAACAAGCTAAACACAGATGCCGAAGAAATATAAGAAAATTCACTTTCGCAAACAGAGTGGTAGACGGTTGGAACAAGTTAGGGGAGAAGGTGGTGGAGGCCAAGACCGTCAGTAGTTTCAAAGCGTTATATGACAAAGAGTGCTGGGAAGACGGGACACCACGAGCATAGCTCTCATCCTGTAACTACACTTAGGTAATTACTCACACAGTCAGCTGGTGGCTGCCGCCCTCAAGGCCAGACGCACTAATATTTCTCCTCCAACAATACTGTTTGTGGTGTTATTACGCTATATACACACATTATATATAAGTATCTACCTGTTTTATTCACCATACTTGTACAAGTAAACTGGTATGGTGCCCAAAGATCATAGTGGTCACCAGTAAACAACATGGTAAGTTGTGCAGACAACGCCACTTCCCTCACCAAGATGGCGGCTCCCAACCTACTCCTATTGCTGTTTATACCCTCTATACACACGTTATATATAAGTATCTACATTTGTGTTCACCATAGCGAACCACTAAGCTTGTATGGTGAGTGCAGTCAATAAAAGGTGGCCACACACAGTCAGAAGACTATGCCACCACCCTCCCTCCCACAGCATTACTCCTCCCTCCATGGAGCACAGCACTAAATATCACCACAATCTTGCGATTATCAGAACCTTGGTCAGTTTTATCACATTCAGGGGTCTTCTGTAATAATATCATCGCTACATAATAGCATGAACAAGTATATTATGGCATTTTTAGGCGATGCTGTGGTCAGAAGCTGAACAGCAGTGCTGTGAGCTCATGCTGCATGCATCAGGCTTGGTAGCTCACTCAATACTGAGGCCCCTAACACCCGGGAATTTGGCCCACGATTTTTTTAAAAAATGGCGTCTGTTTACAAGAGCCCTGATGAAGGTGTGGTAAACCCTGTGTATCCGCGGGCCGTTTAAATCTTGCGTAGTACTCCAAAGCATCATATGATGCAATGTGCAATTTCTACAAGTCGGTCAAAGCATCATATGATGCGATGCGCAACTTAGGGTTAATGTCAAATTTTAAAGAGAGTGTATGTATAAAACTTTTCTTTACAAACTAATTTTCACTCCATAGATGAAGACTACCCTAGCGGCTATGGATTTGGTGAGTGCAGGTTTAGTAATGCTTCTTGAAATGGATTACTTTATGATGAAAGGGTGATCAATTTGCTAGTAACTTTAGTTGCATTAATTGGTAATTTATGGAATGACGGATATTGTGCATTTGCATGAGTTAAGTTTTTTCATATTTTGTGTGATGCATGCATAATCTAAGAGTCATAAGGAAAAAATAATTACATGCACTTTTCGTTGGGGAAGTTTGTGACTTTCAGTACAGTACTGCACAAAATTTATTTAACAATCTATTGCATCCGCATAATATTGGTATACCCTCTAAATCTTAAACATTTATTTGTCTACATATAATAATAATAATAATAATAATGAGAAAACTCACTGGGAGCTGTGAAATGATGCAAACCTGCAACCAAGTCATTACCAATTGCATACCCTACCACTACACCACCACTGACTTGATAAATTCACACAACTGAATTTCTGCTGAAATCACAGGAAGTCTGGAGGCCACTCTTGAAGCCAGTCCAAGTACCTGTATTATGTTTAACCCCCAAAGACTCGGGTGCCGGCAAAATAGTTCAACACCATACGCCCCAACTTCAAATACACACAGATAATTTGCTTGCACCAGAGTGCTTAGGAGTCATACATAAAAACTTAAATTGGCTTCAGGAGGGGCCTCCAGACTTACTGCGATTTCAGTAGTAATCCGGTTGAATGACTTTCAAAGTCGGAGGTGGTACAGTGGTAGAGTATGTAGCTGGCAATGCCTTGGTCGCAGGTTTACATCACCTCAAAGCTCCAGTGGATTTTCTCATTGATATATATCACATTAATTTTAATTTAACACTTTCGCTCGGTAACGACTCAGCATTGCGTCATTTTTTTAGTAGACGCATTTCTGGTAACGATGCAGCATTGCCTAGTCGGCGGCGGCAAATTGGCGGCAACTTCGGGAGAGGCGCGCCGCTCTTTTGGATATTATATGCATATCCTCATGTAGGGAATTTCATTGCAAATACATTGATACCAAAATGAAAGACCTAGGACCAGAATTGAGGTAACAAAGTTGAAAACAGTATACACATTTTACTAGAGCTCACTGGGATTACGCTCCGTCACTTTCTCTGTTTGCTGTGGGTGGTACGCCTGGCTTTTGGACTTTATATTTGCATATACTCCTGTAGGGAATTCTTTTGTGAACACAATGTTACTAAAATGAAAGACCTAGGATGAGAATTGAGATGTCCAAAGTGAAGAGAGTGCACACATTTTATTGCTCTTGCGCATTCTGGGTAATATGCTCTTACTTTCTTACTTTCTCGCTGGGCGTTTGGGCTTTATATGCATTTAGTCTTGTAGAAAATTATATTGCGAAGACATTGATACCAAATTGAAAAACCTAGGACGAGAAATGAGATGACAAAGGGGAAAAGAGAATACACTTTTCAGTATTACCGCACTCTCTAATGTAATGAGAGGTGCCTTGGGGTGGCGCAGTGCTCTCTTTCTGGGCCACTTTCTTCTTATCGGCGGGTGGAGGGCTCTACAGTTTTTTACTTTATATGCATATACTCTTCTTGGGAATTCTATTGCGAACACTATGATACCAAAATGAAAGCCTTAGGATGGGAATTGAGGTGACAGAAGTGAAGAGAGTGTACACATTTCATCGCACTTGCACGCTCCCGGGTAACACGCACTCACTTTCTATGTTTGTTGTAGATGATACGCCGGGCTTTTGGACTTTATATGACTTTAGTCCTGTAGAGAATTCTATTGCAAACACAATGATACCAAATTGAAAAACCTTGGACGAGAATTGAGGTGACAAAGTTGAAAACAGTATACACTTTTCAGAATTACCGCGCGCTCCCATGAAACGCTGAGGCCTACCTGGGGTAGTGTGGGTCGGGCGCGCACAGTGCAATAAAGTGTTAATGTGATTTCCTGTGTGTAGATAATAATAATAATAATTTACATATATAACAATGTGCATATGAAGTACGTAAGACAGGTATATTTGAAGGTACAGATGTTGCGCATTATATGAAGCCTCTACAGTGTAAAGCATTTCAGTTTGAAGTTATATACATCTTCTATTGCTTTAAAAAATAATAGAAAGGCCATGTGGACATCATAATTGTCACTGTGACAGTAATTACTTAAGTGTAGTTACAGGATGAGAGCTACACTCATCTTGAGAGGTTATCTAGAGATGATTTCGGGGCTTTAGTGTCCCCGCAGCCCGGTCCTCGACCAGGCCTCCACCCCCAGGAAGCAGCCCGTGACAGCTGACTAACACCCAGGTACCTATTTTACTGCTAGGTAACAGGGGCATAGGGTGAAAGAAACTCTGCCCATTGTTTCTCACCGGTGCCCGGGATCGAACTCAGGACCACAGGATCACAAGTCCAGCGTGCTGTCCCCTTGGCCGACTGGCTCCCTTTTCATGGTTCATAATTTTTCATCATTTTTTTTGTTTGAGGCAGGAAGGAAACAGTCGTGTTGACATTATGTTTATTGTAAACACAAAGCTCATTGGTATAACTGTCATGTATCAACTTACAGTACCTAAAAAGTCCCTAAAATAAAAGAGCATCTGATCTTACTAGTGTGAACCTAATCTAGGTAATATTTAATCGTACTAATCACTCTCAATCCTAACACCCATCTTCCCAATAATAATTTTAATATGATGCTTTGAAACCTAATGGTTTTGGCATCCACCACCTCACTTTACTAGCTTGCTCCAACCAACTACCACTGATGGTAAACAAGGGTGGTCAGGAGACAGTGGGTGGGCAGGTGAGCAGCAGGGTGGTCAGGAGACAGTGGATGGGGAAGATGATGGTGACATATATGTATATGGTGTAGTGCCTTGCAAACGTCATATATCGAAACGCTGTATCGATAGATACAGCGATAGCAGGCGGCTTGACGTTTGCGAGGCACTACACATTAAGAAGTCAACACCAGCAATCAACAGCCAATTAATGCACAACTATATTCTACCTACCTCAAGACTCCGCTCCAATATAGAAGCATCAAGAAATATGGACCAATAGGCTTTCTACAATCACTTCCATTTCAATACCCATTGTTTCGTGTTCTGTCTTGTGTTGATGAAATTAATACCCTATTAATGCCACCTCTTGTTCTGTCTTGTGTTGATGAAATTAATACCCTATTAATGCCACCTCACCCCATCCACCTCACTCAAATGTAGATATAAACAAAATCAGAAGATGTGTAAGTTCTATTCAGTTGTGTATTTGTAAACTAAAGTCTTTGAAAATGTAATAAGTTTTACGAAACGCGCTCGTGTCGCGTCAGACTAGAAATAAAAATGAATTTTGGAGAATTGATTTTTGAATTACCTCCAACAGTGAAAAGAAATGTACGAAAGATTGAGAAAATTCGTGTTAGAATTATTAATCTTACTTTTTCGGTCATATTTAATAATATATATATATATATATATATATATATGGAGATCACCATATGGGTGCTAAAATGATGTATCATTACAGACAAATGTTAAAACGAAGGGAAAAACAAAAGTCTCTTGACAAATTTGTAGTGAGACAAACAAGCACTGAACCACATTATATATATATATATATATATATATATATATATATATATATATATATATATATATATATATATATATATATATATATATATATATATATATAATGTCGTATCTAGTAGCCAGAACGCACTTCTCAGCCTACTATGCAAGGCCCGATTTGCCTAATAAGCCAAATTTTCATGAATTAATTGTTTTTCGACTACCTAACCTAACCTAACTTTTTCAGCTACCTAACCTAACCTAACCTATAAAGATAGGTTAGGTTAGGTTAGGTAGGGTTGGTTAGGTTCGGTCATATATCTACGTTAATTTTAACTCCAATAAAAAAATTTAACCTCGTACATAATGAAATGGGTAGCTTTATCATTTCATAAGAAAAAAATTAGAGAAAATATATTAATTCAGGAAAACTTGGCTTATTAGGCAAATCGGGCCTTGCATAGTAGGCTGAGAAGCGCGTTCTGGCTACTAGGTACGACATATATATATATATATATATATATATATATATATATATATATATATATATATATATATATATATATATATATATATATATATATATATATATATATATATATATATATATATACAGTGGCACCTCGACTTACGATTGCCAATACTTACGATAATTTCGAGTTACGATGTAAATTTCATCGAAAAATGCCCTCATGAGTGGACATGTCCCAGGGGTTCAGCATTAGCAGTGTTGATTGGTAGCTTGGGTGCCAGTTAGCAGTACCCTGCCTGGGATAACCCTTAGCAGACCTAGTCTGGGGGCCCTGGGAAACCCTGCAGGACACTCGGGGTCCAATGGATATGACCCCTGAGTCCCCTCTCACTTTTTGTGAGTTTGAGGGTTGCTCTGTCCCCTTGTCTCAGGGCGATGCTCATTGTTTTTGCCTCCGTCATGCTGCCTGTTGGGTCGGTGACACATTCAACCTGGAGAATGTGACCTTTGAGAATGAAGACCTTAAACATAATACAGGATACAGAACACAATCAAATGTGCCCATAACAGGAAAACAGCATGTTAAGGATTTGGGAATAATGATGTCAAATGACCTAACGTTTAGGGAGCATAACCAAGCAAATATTGCGTCAGCCAGAAAAATGATTGGATGGATTACAAGAACTTTCAAATCCAGGGATCCCATCACAATGGTTGATCTCTTCAAGTCACTTGTGTTGTCCCATCTTGAGTACTGCTCAGTACTCACTTCCCCCTTCAGAGCCGGAGAGATTGCTGAAATAGAGGAAATACAGAGAACATATACAGTACGCACAGACGCAATAAACCACCTAAGTTATTGGAATCGTCTCAAAGCCCTCCAAATGTACTCACTAGAAAGAAAACAAGGGAGACATCAAGTAATATACACATGAAAGATACAGGAGGGCCAAGTACTAAATCTACACAGTAAAAT